TGTGCTCATTAAGACATCCAATCAGAGTGTTCCTTCCCACCTATCCCGTTATTCATCGGACAGCTGACTGTTTCAAATGCTTGGGTTTGGGCTGTTATTACTTTTCTTCTTCACGTAAAAAGGCGAGCTGGTATATAAATCGTTGCTTAGTCATCTGGAACGCAATGTGGCCCTTCCCCAGCTCCCTCCCTGGGCGCTCCCCACCCCCTCTCAGGCAGCTCTGCCCGCCCGCCTGCCTGCCGGCTTCACAGGTCTGAAACGACTGCCCTGAGAGTCCCCTCCATAACCCGGGGAATTGCCTTCTGCCTATAGATTGCCTGAACTCACACAAAAGCGGGCGAGGAGGGGGTGGGGCAGTGGGCGGATTTGCAACTATTGATACATTATTATATCGAAATAGCAGTGCTTTTCAAGTATTCTTCTTTAAAGAAACATGCTGGGTTTGCTTTTTTTTCCTCCCCCCTTGGTACTATTGTTGGTACAGTCCTGCCCCTGAAGAGAAATTCAGTGAGTTTTAGAGGTACCAGCAGCCACCTTTAGGGTCAAAATGTTTCACATCAAATTCCAATATCAAAATCATACATTTTCTTTATACTCACAAAAGGGAAAAATAAGGTGAGCTTTAAGTGGGAGACACTTCATAAGAGAATTATCCTTCACTTGTTTTCTATACTCTTATTCTCCATTCAATAACTCTTTGACTGACTGAAATGTTATAGGCTCTTACTACATAATACAAATTAATCGTATCAGTCATCACGCTCCTTTTGTAAATAGATCAATCACCATTCTACTCAGCACACAACCCTGGTTCCCACTCCCCCAGCAAAATCCAGGCCGGCCTCCTGAGCCCCGGATGACTCGTTCTTACGCAAGGCCATGAGTTCAGGGAAGAGCACAGCACAGGGCCTACTACAGACATTTGACCCGGAGAAGAGCGATCAAGTTGATAACAACAAAAATGTCACACAGGTAGTCTGGCTTTCTGTTCATAAGCCACACCAAAGAATGACACCATGAGGGATGTGATCCCTAGGAGGCTGGGTTCTGGACTCAGATTAAGTCAGATTACAGAGTTGCAAGCCTCAACTGGACCAGCAACCAAAAGGTGACCAGAGGCAAGTCTTCCAGCTCCTCTGATCCTCCTTCACCGTGGTTCACAGACTGAGGGGATGGAAATAGCCACCCTGAGTGACTGCGCTTAATGGCCTATTTTAATATTTTATTATGATCACCTATTCTCTCTCTAGACTTTGGATCAAAAGCAGCACTGCGCCTGAACTCAAACTGTAGCCAAAGCTGCTTGCAAAGCAGAGAGTGGCCACAGTGGTTCCTGAGGAGGAGGGGGAATCCAGAGGAAAGAGGCTGCAGGCTTGCTTGACATCCTCCTGCTCTCAACACACACAGTAGGACCAAAAAAGGAGGACAGGCTTCTCTGCCAGAGTGCGCCTCATACTGTCCTGTTACTTGCAAATCGTAAGACATTTCTCTCAAATCAGCTCCAAAGCCCAGGAACCAGATCCCAGGGCCCACTCTGACAGTTACTCTCTGAACTACTCGCTTCTCTCCTGCATAATGGGAAAGTAGCAAATAATTGCCAGGAAGAAAACAAGGATTTAATCTAATATCTTTGGAAATGCTTTGAGGAAGTTAAAACGGTAGACAAAATCAATGTTGTGGCAACAGCAGCAGAATCCCCAACCAAATATAGATGTGAAGCCTCCCTTTTAAATGCCAATTTAAAGGGGCTTCGCTCTTAAAGAATCAATTTCCTGCAAGGTGCCACAAGTGTTAAAATTAAACGAAAGTAGATGACACAGGAAGAGTTGCCAAGATGAATAATTTTAGCTGTTGGAAAGACATACCATGTAAATCATGAATAAATATGAAGTCCCTGAATAATACTATCTTTGGTGTTTTCTTAATTACAGATCTTATGGACATTCTCTTTAGCATGCTCATAATTGAATTTCTATTTCATTGTTATGCCTATATAAAAAAATTTCCTGTAACTATTTCATGAATTGCAACAGTCACAAACTTGGAAAATTATCAGGTGTTCCACATTCCCAACTTCACTCAAACTTCAACCAGGAACTAGTACTGTTGTTTGAAATCCATCAGAACATTAAAATTTTCCTGGATAACTTATTTGATTTACTTTGAAAGTTCAAAAGAATAGGACTCAGTGGAGATATATATATATAAGTCCACACTGTGCAGCTGATCGGCTATTTCACAGAAGGCCAAAGTCTACAGGGTTTCTTTTCTTTTTACCATTTTCTTTCCTTTTTTTTTTTTTTTGTACCATAAGTGACATAATGAAGTGGTAAAAACTGAAAAGAAATGAATAAAAAGAAATGTAGTACAAATAATACAGTAGAGAAAGTTCTAAAATATATATTACTCCTGTCTGTGGGGGAAACACCTCTTTGGATATGTGCTTGACAGACTGAGTTATTTCTGTCTATTGGGTATGTATAAAGACATATTTATGGATTTATAAATCTTTTGAAGAGGGCTGTTATTTACCCAGTTGACTAAAATGGACTCAAACTGTGTAAATAACTATTTAGGACATGTACTACGGGCCAAATGCTGGCACCATTTACACGTCCAGGCCTGCCAGAAAAGGCAGACAGGGAAAACATGGAAAGGCCACTGTGCACAGTTAATCTGAAGGCTGCACAAAGACTCAGCTCCACAGGTCTCAGGGATGAAAAACGAGGTTTAGAAGGGCGTGTCTGGCATGGAAGCGTGCATAAATTGTTGCAGACACACTTGCAGGCATCGTTCTGTGTTGTGCAGAACTAAATCTCATTGCCAAAGAAAACCCAGAAGGACAGGGCAATGGAGGCTGAAGGTGTGGCTGCCACCACCCCTGTTGTTCAGCAGGTAGAGGGCAGGAAGGGGACATCAGCACAGACAGCTGCTATCTGATGTCTCTGGCAGGAATTGACTTTCATTCTTTGGCAGAGACATGAGAAAGAGGATATGATAAGAAGAGTCGTGCATATCTCATCAGGACACTGGAATTTGAGGTCTGGCACTGCACTGGGACCTCAGTATGGGACAAAGCCTAACTGTACCTTATTTTCCACATCTGTGAAATGGGGCTATAGCTGCTTCATCTGCCACCAGGACTGTTTTTACATCATCTGCCACCAGGACTGTTTTTACATGGTACAACTGAGGTTATCTGAGTGAGACAAGTCATGTATTGGTCTTAAATTTTTTTTTAATATAATGAGAACATAATATAAAAAGAAGCATTCTAAATGCCAAATCAGTAAAGTGAAAATCCTATGCTTCCTGGTTAAAATCAAATTCATTATTAAATAGGCCTTTGAAGATCACTTGTTGAACTTAAAAAGAAACACCAGACTTTTTTCTTTCTCATGAACCAGCAGAGAAGAATTGACACTGCGCATGTAGCCTCTGAGAAATCTTATCAGAGTGTGCTTGAGAAAACTTATGCAAGTTTCAATTCAAGTGCATTTCAGCAGTGCTTAAGCCCTTATGCAGTAACTCAGGTTCCTGCCTTTCTTAGATGACATGTTTTAAAAAGCAAGAAATGAAAATGAAACAGACACAGTGGTATGCTATGACCCCATGTAGCAATTCTGGGATATGGGAAAAAGAATTTAGATTCCATTTGCACCTCTTTGAAAACTCATAGTGTAAGTAGATTTCTGAAAGTCAGGATTTCTATTGAAAGTGCAGATACCACCTTAACTATAGCACTGTGAACAGCAATGCCATAACATATACACATACTCTTGAAAGAAAAAAGGCCCCTTGGATTTATGCTGCATATCATCTCCCAGTAAAAGTCAGAGGTCAGAGGTCACTTGCTTCTGCCCAGCTCTGGACGAGTTTATTATTCCAGGCTCCATTTTTACTGGGCTTATACTTCTGATGAAGTCAGCAACTTTCTTTGAACGATAAAATGTCTCAAATGCTTAAAATTTTATTTGTAGAAGTTATTCCCAGGGCAACTAGCATACATGTACCTTGAAAGAAGTCTAAATTTTCCTGTTCTAGTTTTCAAATTAATCATGATATATTCACTATAGACTTTGCAATTGTAATCAGCGTAGTCCAACTAAGTTAGACAACAAAATTCCTTGTTGTCTAACAGCACTCCAGTTAAACATGATCACAAACCCAGATTTTAAAGTATGTATCTACTACAGGCTCAGTCAATTTCAATAAAGTAGTCTTTTTATATTCAGATAAAAGATTCACTTTCAGCACTAATTGCATTAATTGAATACAAAATCTACTGCGGTAGGCCCTCATCAAAAGCAGTCCAAGACATCTGACTACTCATTCACCTTTCTGCTGAAGGCTCGCTTGATGTTTAAGCATTATTTCCTGTTAGGGATAGTCAAGCATGTACATCTACGGACACCCACGTCAACACACAGGTATGTGCATTCAAAGCACAACACAAGTTTAGTTGCTCTCTCTCCCTCATTGCATTTCATCTGGCCTTGCAGGGAAGTCAAGCCCTTAAGAAAATGAAATAAGTAAAACCAGAAAAATGGCTTCAACCCCATGCAGAGGGAAGCCCAGCTTATGTTGCCCAATGCCTGCTAATCATCTTAAGATACCACTGTTCACTTGGGATCCTAGTGGGTGTTTCTGCATGATCCCTTGAAAAGCCTCCAAGGGCAAGTGGTGATAATGCATTCTATTTGTATAGCAGGGCATTAGTGCTCTTCTGCTTATCCACCTCTGAACATCTAATCTACTTCTCTAATCTTGCCCTCAGTCAACTCGCTGACCCTGTTGCATGGAGGTGGCCAGGTGACAAAGCAGTTAGGCAGCTGGAATGGCCGAAAGGACAAGAACTGAACAAGATGAGTTGATTCCCAACCTGTATAGCATTTATCCTCTAGGAGAAGCTGTTCACATAGTAACCAACTACACATTTCTGATTTTTCAACCCTTGAAATGAAATAGGTAGCAAAAGAGAATGAGAACACCTCTCCTAC